TACAACATGATTCCTGAGTTGGATGAAGCCAGAATCGGTGCCCTGCTTTTCATCTAATAAAAGGATTTGCAGTGCAGTGCTGCTGCACCGGGACTCGGGCATTTTAGAATGCAAATGCTACTTCCTCAGTCATCTATGCAAAAGTAATTTAGTGCAAGAACAAGAATGTTTATGTTATTTACTATGATTTATAAACTAATATTAGTCAATAAAGCAAATATAATTGAAAAGCTATAGTAATAAAACTAGCAATGAGTACCAGTTTGCAGCTGAATAAACATAGCCCTAAAACCCATTGAATTTAATGTTGTGTTATTTGTGTTGAAAGTCGGGTTCAGCTGCTCTAGGACACTTTTCAGCTAGTTTAGAAACTAGATTGAAATACAGCAAATGTTCTAAATATCACATATATTTTTTTCGACATTGGTACCATATTCACGTATATTGGCGAACAGAGACCATTAAAGACCCTATTTTCTTTTAAACTTCCTGGCGGTTTTAATTCCCACTTATACTTTTACTCATACTGCATATAGACACAGCATTATGGCCCCTGATACAGTAGTTGTGGTAACTAATATTAAATAGTCTTCATAGTCTATATGATTCGGTTAAAATGTCCACAGCTGTTATTGATTTATTTTTCCAGAAACAGAGTATTATATTATAAAAACACTGTAAAGTACAATACTCTATTTGTCTTCTTTCTCTATCTGTGTTTTTTTATACACTTTTCTAAGGTGCACATTGTGTGACCATTTCTACACTAACCTTTTTATGTGAACACCACAATTTCCTCATTGTGGGACAATAAAGGGATTTTCTATTCTATTCTAAGATACCTCTGTAAACATATGTTTGAAATTAATTAAACAAACATTTATTATACATTCCAAATACTTTTAAAATGGCAGAAACAAATGAAATTGAGTTCTGGATGGAGAATATTTAAAAAAGAAGATTTATCTTAAATACAAAATGCATTTATTTTTGGATTTTTTTTTAGTTCATTAATGAACTAAAAATTGCTTCCCTGATTGACATGTTTAGTTTGTTTACTGCAGTAAGTTATTATTTGATAACTTAATGATTTGAGCATCATTTCAATGTTTAGATATCTTTGTATTGAAATTTGACAAAAGCTATTTCCCACCTTACAGATTATCGCTAAGTTGTTGCTTGTCTTTGTCACTCTACATCTGATTATGGTTGTGCCACATCCACTCTTTGTTTTCTGATCAATGCCAGATGGGACTTTGTGTTCTGTTTAATCAGCAGGGCTTGTACCTTGAAACACTCATTGAGTAGGAATTTTTTTGTGATGTCCTAGATGAGTTGTTGTGCTTTTGGAGCATTCTTTTGTGGCTGCCCACTCCTGGGAATGTTCACCTTTGTTCGGTTTCCTCTAACTGTGGATAATAGTTCTCTTTATGGTTGACCGTGAGTCGCAAAGCCTCAGAGAGAGCTCATTACTGACAAATGTCATTGAATCTGCTTTCACATCTGTTCTTGGATCATTATTTATTTATTTTTTATAGCATTGAATATAATGGTTTTCAAGATCTTTTTGCTTAATTAATGTTGTTAGATGTTAGGGTTGTCTTATTTCTTAATTTCACAGGTCTGACAGTTATTAGGGATGGATGTGGCTGGAAAAACTGAACTGGACAAATTTGTTTAACTACGCATATACATGTATGCAAAAATTAAAAAATTAGTAATAGGTAGTCTGAAAGAGATATTTCTGATAGCAAATAAATTAATAACTCTCTGTGTTCATACAGATCAATTAAGAGAATTTATATTTGCAGATCAGCAGACGTCATGTACAAACCATTTATGGCATGTGTGCCTTCATTACTATGCAGATCATAATTTAATGACAAAACTGCACAAAGTAAAGCAACTTTCCAAATCTGTCACTCAACTGCTACAAGAATTTTTGCATATTATTTAGGCAAAAAAATTGACTGATTCTGATAATTGTGGCATGTTTGATAAAAAAGAGAGAGGATGCAAAGACACATGGGGGGAGTGCTCATCTCTTACCTTTCGCATTGGAGATGCTTTTCTCCCTTGATTCAACAAAGCATGACATACACTTATGTTCTATGTGTTTGCACCTTTTTTCATGTCTCATTTTTCAGAATTTTATGCTTAACTTTAGCTATATTCATCAATTCATTGTTTTAATTGAGTTTTTAGCACTTAGAGATAGACAACCTATGTGAGATGCTTAATAGATATTATTCAGTATTATACCGTAATTATTATTTTTAAATAATTTTTATCATTAATACCTCCACCGACAGGGCTTAGAAGCTCATTTGTCTTTTGCAACCATTCTCAACTGCCCATAGCACATGCAACCTGCGCATTTTAATAGCCGGGACAGAAATGGTTTGCACGTCTTAACATTTGCAAAGCAAAGTTTGTAGATCACCCACACAGTAACCACTTATTTGATGCATTAAAAAAAATGCACATTCAATTTTGCGCCCCTTGTTATGAATCTTTTAAGATCAGGCTATAGGGGTGACGTGTCTGCAAAGGAGTAGATCTTGTCTCACTGAGAGCTAACAAGGGTCACTGCTGCTACATAGCATGTACAGTTACTGCCTTCTAAGATTGAGATTACGTATGTAAACTTGATTATTTAAAAATTTAAATATTATATTGTTCAGATTCCAATATTTTGGTCCAAAAACTGTTCCATTAATTTACAAGTTCTTTATCATCACATTGATATTTCCTTAGACAGAAATCAAAATGTCATATTAATCTGATAATGGAGGGGATCCTGATAGATTTTCTTGCTCTACTTAAGGGGTCATTTAAGTGAAGTCCTTGTGAGCATTTCATATTTATAAGTAAGCATGTTTCAGACGCCCTGTGGAATGTGATTTTAGTTTCCTGGGATAAAAAAGGAGGAAAGGGAGATGTTAATGCTTATGTGTGACGATGGGGAAAGTCGGAATCTGTTAGCTGAGGGTGACAATGAGAAGCAGAAAAAAACTTAATGGAGATAAACATTTCATGCAGTGCAAAAGGAAACTTATATAGCCTTTTGAAGGGCTCACTTAGCTGTTTTAAATTCAAGATTTTGACCCTGTGAAGTCTGCATACATTATCTATACTACTGCCCCCATCACAGAGTTCCTTTTTTTACCTTCTTGGGAATAGATTCAGTATTCTCTGGGATACAGGGGTTTCTTAGCCACAAACAAGTATCCCTCTGTTCCTCCCATCTCCGGTTTAGGAGCTCTTTCTGTCTCTCTCACAACTTCTCCTCAGGATTCTCATCTTAAATTCTGCAGCGCGTATAGTATTAAAATGTTTAGACTGTCCTATCATGAATATATAAGGCTTCTCTTTTTATTTTAAATATTTTTTTTCTTTTTGGCTCTTACAACTTAGAATATCTCAAGTCTTACCTAAAAAGCCTCTTCCTCTCTATGGTTTTGCATCTGTGCTCTACATTTCCTCCATTTCCCCCACATATTTCTGCTTTTTTTTTTTTTTTTTTTTTTTTTACAATTGTTTGGTTGTTGCTTGATATTGTATTTCATAATAAACTGTGTCATTTACTGAAATGTATTTATCATTCATGGAAATAGTATTATCATACAATATTTAAACTGTCTGTATTGTTTGTTAAAAAAAAAAAGAGACAGACAGGCAGGCAAGTAGACAGATAGATAACACTAGCACTATTCCACTATTAGACAGTTATTGTCTAAAGGAAAATCTAAATGCTCTGTAATGGGCTGGAAATTAGCTTAGACAATGTTTAGCAGGAGTATTGATGTGCCATGTTGTTTTTCCCTTTTTTTCCTTTGCACTCCTGAACTTCAATGTATTTTATGGTGATTTTATTTTTTTAAATTTCCCCGAAATAGTTAGCAGATGTTTTTTTCTCTTTTATTTATTTTTTACCACTATATTTATTGCAATAGAAATCAGAACAAATGGGCATGATTGAGATTTTCCATTCATCTTTCATTCATCAGTATCATAAAATAAACTAGTATAGCCATCTTCAGTCACAAATCGAAGTATACCCACTAAGAATGTCTAACTGTCTTAAAGGCCAAATAAAATCTATTAATTAAAACAAGGAACCCAAATAGTGGTGCTGTAAACGAACCAAGACAAAGCCTTCTACTAAAACTGACAGAATGGGCTAGGGCAGCACTGAAACAAGTGAATGTAGGAGCCCTAATCTTATGCTCGATGATATCTAGCCTTTGCTTTACATGCTCATGGTTAAGAACAACTGGATATCACCCTGATCACCTTTTGTAACTGGAACTACTGGCTTAGTTAAGTAAGGAAATGGAGCTGATTTGAAGTATAATGGAGGTAAATCCACCTTTCCTCAGAGAAAAAATGTCCTAAACATTCAACCAGACCTACATTGGAATGATTTAGATCAACACATAAACATATGTTGAAATAAACCAAAGTCCCGACATAAATCAAATGAAAAAATTTGTGGCAGGACTTGATAATTGGCTGTTCACTCCCTCTCTCCCTTCAATCTGTAAGAGCTAAAACTCTTTGTCCAAAATGAATATCCACACTTTGCAGAGAGGTTTTATTTGATGATTACTTGTCTTAGTGGCCTGAATATCAATGATTTTCATAATTTTTATGTCTCTTTCTGCTTAAAGTCTGGAAAACTCTACTCGTCCTAATCTTCATTAGCTTGGACTAGTTTGTGTTAATCTCTGACAATGAAATATGCCTTTTTATGTGATTACGATTTGGCAAGGAATTTTTGAAAGACTTCACTATAATAATACTTTTTTGTAATAAAATGTATCAGCACATTTTATTTCTTAACTTACGGTATTTAATTGAGCTAAAACAATTTAAACATGCCACGACTATATCTGTTCTTAAATAGAAGTCGGTGTAAAGAAAGTACAGTCCTTTCTCCTTGAAAATTTATTGTGGGTCTGATTTATTTATGTGTCCTTCCTTTCACCTCTTCCAAGGCTCTCGCCCCCGCGACTGTGGTGACCTGTACGCCAGTGGTCAGAGAGAGGACGGCATCTACTCTGTGTTTCCCGTTCACCACCCTACAGGCTTCCAGGTCTACTGCGACATGACCACGGACGGAGGAGGCTGGACGGTGAGTCACTGCTGATGCAGTGGCAAACACACAAACATGTAGTGCTTAAGCCTTTTTTCTTTTAATGGTCCATTTTAGGGTTTTCTATGTATTTATTCTGGGGTCATAATCAAGATTAAAATGGGAAAATTGAATAAAGCTGCAGGCCCTTTCAACCCATCTACTTTTATAAATCTGCTTTAACAGACAGTATTAAGCTTCTAAAGTAAAAAGGATTCACCGAACCCGAATCCACCTGTGCACATTTATTCCATTTAAGTCACTCATTCAGCCTTTAATGTTGTATACATTTCTTTCTGAGCTCCCGCTGCAATTACAGATGTACTGCCTCAGGAATCTCATGTATTAAACATTTCATAAAATTTTTATTTAACAGAATAACAAGAGATCTCAAGACCATGGTACAAGTGCACCTTTTTAAAAATACTTTTAGTAGATTTTCTCTTGTCAAAAAGAAGGTAGATTTTTTTTGTAGTATTTCAAGTGATTGCTGAAAGAATTATGAAGAAGGATGAAGAAAGCTATTAAAAGAGCACTGATGGACATGACATGTTCAGGTGAAGGTTAAAAAGAAGGAGCCATTATAACTGTAGGGAAGATTTAAATCTAAATTACCCACCGATGCAAAGATGCCTTTTCAGATCGAGTGCAACAAAATTCTTAGCCAGCAAGTTAGAATAAAGCTTTTGTGAAAATTTATGTACCTTTCTACTGCTAAGGCAAAAAAACAAAACCTTGATTCAATTATAGGTGGATAGTGGTGAGTAATCCTAAAATGGAATCACAGAAAATCGACATTTGGAGCTCCTCTAAGCATATGTAGTTATTATTCCCACTCCACATCTGTCAGTTGTCTGGACTTCCTCAAGTAAACAATCCTGTTTGAAAAGGACTGTTTTCTGGAAGTGCTACGTCTTCTGGGAGAAGGAGACAGTGAGGTGAACAAACACTCACATGCAGCTGTTTGAAGTTAGACTGGGAATTGTTGTTCAATTGTATTCTACTCTGTACACACAAGCTCTTTCTAGTTAGAGACATTTATTTCCTTTTGGTTATGAGGTGTACCAAAGCTGTCCTCAGGGAGTGCTGAGAAACTCCAAAATGAAAATGAGAGAATTTGGACATTTACGCCATGTAAATCCGTCACAATTTTTCTTCTCATCTCTATACAGGTTGTGATGCAATTTAACATGCATAGGCGGACTTTGAAATCCATTCAAAACTTCCTACAGTATAATTTTTTTTCTGTAACTGCAAAGTGATGCAAGTTGTTCAAAAAGTGTTTTATTGCTTTGGAGGAAAAAAAAAAATACATTTACAGATTTTAGCCTTTTACCTGATGGGATGATGCTTTGAAAATATGTTTTTACAGCGTGCTTTTTCAGCTTTTAGTCTTATAGATTTCTGCATTTTCTAACTTCTCAGTAATGTGCTAGCCAAATATCATTGCACTAATGGTAAGAGTTTAAATATTTTTAAAGTGTATATTTTTTGTTGCTGCATTAACTCATGATAAAATGTTTAGAAAAGTTCAGAAAGAAATAAGATAGTAAGATAATAAGATTTCGACAGTATAAGGAAAAAAAGAAGAACTCACTTAGCACTTATAAGTCACTCTGTGTTTCCTTTACATCTAACTAGCAATGCATTTTGGTCAGTTTTCCTGAAATGTGGATAAAAAAATGATAAAGACCATTTGCGTAAGCTATTAGCCTCAAGACTGGACAAGAATCAATATTTAGCTCAATAAATTCCCAGTTCCCTTGCTTAACGCTAAGGGAACTGTTGACAAAAAATACCCAAGCTGGATTTGACATATAGCAAAGGATGATTCTGGAGAAACAGCTATTGCCTGATGTAAAGTATGGCAAAGGACATGTGATGATGTTGGACCAGGAAAGATTAGAGTGCATGAGGCCATACATTTGTTTTATGAACCAGAATATTCAAAATAAATTTCTGATCGACTCTATTTAAATACTAGAAATTTGTCATTATAGGGGGCTTTAGTGTAGTCCAAAACATATTGGATGGGAACATCGAAACCCTTCATCAGACACAAAATCAACCTTCTTCCATGGGCATCTAACTCTACAGATTCCATTTCTTTAAAAAAACAAAATTAAAACTATGGAATTAAAAGAGAAATAAAAATCATAGAATTAATTTATTACAAGAAATAGTTTTAAATCCTTCCCACTGTGTGCTCCAAAAGTAGTAGAAAAATTTCTTTTTGAGCAAAGTTGGTTGTACTGACAGTATTGACAGGCTATGTAGGCCTACTGCAAAAAAAAAAATCCATTCTTTAATGGATTCACTACATTAATTTACTCACTTTAAATATTAAATGCAGAAATTAGAACTATATGAAATTATTTGGGCTTTTTGTTTTTAACACTCTTTACTAGATGGGCTACTAAAAGGTGTAAAAATTTATTTGTTTTATTTTTAATACAGAAAAGTTGGAAAACCAGTAAAATAGTTTTTTAGCCCTTATCTACAGAAATACATGTTCATTATGAGCAATTCGAGATAAACTAATCTTATTTTGATAGTGTTTTCATTGTTAGGGGTACAATGTCAAATAGATAAAGCAATGTTGTCGGTGTCTAATTCACTGTGAATTTCCTGTGCATGTTTTTTTTTTTTTTTCAACCCTTATCACAGGAATAGAAAACATGCATGCACGCTTGTTACAGTAAGCTTTCACCAAGTTTGTGTTATAGGCAAGGTGTGCAACCTGTGCGTCCATCTTTGCATGGATTGTTTGCATCAAAGTAAGGTGACCCTCTACACTGGGACTTAGCTGTTCAGAGTAAGCAGTGTGCTATCCATGCTGTCCAGCAAAAAGGATTTCCACAGCTGCTCAGATTGAGGTGATAACAAGCAGCTACTGATCCTGCCTGGAGTGTTGAGCTGGCTGTGATAATCTCTGAGCCTCATTAGGAGATCAGCATTGTGTAGTCCAACAGGAGCAGGTAGCAGGATTCTCAAGGAGCAGAGTGGCTTACTGTCTGCTGAGCTTAAATAAGGAATGAGCCATATGCTGCCACCTCATTAGCATAGTTTGACATAGTGTTGCAGACAGACTGAAAGATGAGCAGGTTACTTAGAAGAAAAGGGAGAGAACAGATGAGCTTTCAAAGGAGAAAATGAGGGAGAAAGTAAGAATAGGATATAAAAAAACACAATAGAGGAACTTAAATGTCATTTTTCTTACTCCCTGTAAAGGCATACTTCAAAATGGCCTATAATAAAATTGTTCTCTTCTACTGTATTGGCAGTAAAAAGGGGGCTCTCTGGGAGCCTTGAAGATAATAGAGTTATCTGAAGTGGCTCTAGATTTTGATACCAATCAGTACAATTACGCCATCAGTCAATTATAACCTTTCAGTGTAAATTTCATTTTTAATGCCTCGTGTTCCTGCCTGCACCTGAATGCAGATATGCGAGATTTCACATGAAAAATTCATCCTTTGGTTGTGAGAAGCTCAGTGAAAAATCCCCAAAAAGTCAAACCAAAAGCAGTCATAAAAAAAGGCGAAATGATCAAAGAGCTGTTTTCCATAATGCCACAGTAGATTCAAAATCAAGCTGTTCAAACTAGCCTAGGACAGCCACCCACAGACAGCCACGTCTCCAAACTTCCAGAGTGAGAGATTATCCTCTGAAATCATGCAAGTATAAAACTATTCAGTGAATAATGAAGCCTTTGGGGTGTCTTTGTCGCCTCTACTATTCACGATAAATTACTCATTACCAGATTTCTTTACAGTGTTGCCTCATCAGTTTTTAATAAATGCTTCAAATAGTAGAAAAGAGAACCGCTTCCCACAGGGATCAGAAAAAGCAGATAACTTTGCTCCACATTTATCTGATTTATTCTAAGATTGAGAAAAAAAAAAAATCATCCAAAATGAATTGAATATAAGTGCACCAGAGAAGTACTTCAATTGAACATGTGGGCTGAATTTATCTGTATAAAAAGGGACCTGCACAGAAAAAAAAAAAGAAATCAACGTTTGGAGGTATTAACACAGGTAGGAAATCACTCAAAACACAGTTGCATCAATATTCTGAAAAGTGAGACACAGCCACTAAACCAGCTGGAGGCCATATCGCTTTTTTTGCTACACTTTTTGATGCTCTTCATTGAACATAGTGGTTTCCAATTATGATTTTGAGTTTCAATTAGAGCTCATATTGCTAGAATAATTAGATGGAGATGTTGAAATAAAACCCAGTTGGAAGCTTGCTTACTTTTGGAGCACAATCTTTGTTCAGATGATGAAAACATTGACTGTTTAAACTGAATTGAGCATTTTCATATGGGGAAAAGTTTCATAGTCGTGATTTGGTGTAAGCTGGTTACTAAGGGGCTGGCCAACCAGAGCTGGTAAGGTTAAATACTCTCCAGTCTGAAACAGACCACAGCGGTCACAGTGGGGGAGCGCAGCGGGCCCATAAGGCAACATCACTTTTCTGTAACCATAACAGACAGGTTTGCAGCTGCAATGGGTGTTTTATTGATGCACTTTATTATGTCCTGAAAGAGCTCTTTATATGGTTGCAATCTCCACACCTGGCATCCATAAGAGCTTTTATTTTTATTTATTTTTTATAAGATGTTTTTGCATCACATCCATAGTTATCTAATTTTTTCTAAATTGTTTTTGTTGAATCTGTTGATCCTGCCTTTGACTTTAGGCTCCTTTCCAGACTAATATGAGGTGTATGGGTCACAAATTGCCCTTATGAATACAATTCTGATTAGATTTGTGAGATGCTTGTCTTATACTTTCTTCACTATCAAAGTTTGAATAACACATATAACCAGATAAAATTGTTTTAAATAAACGTCTAAATGCAGTAATGATTTAGTATTTGCATAAACAATTCTTGCTCTCTGATCCAACTACATTACTGTATGCCCCATATTTTTGTTTTAAACACTTAAAAAATACCAAGAGATCCTTAATGTTACAGTATCTTACCATGAT